AAAGCTCAGGAAATCAACCTCCTTTGAAAGATTTCTCCTCTGGGAGATGCACAGGAAGTCTCCATCCAGACCTCATTAAACTGGAGACAACTTGATAATACATCCTCATCATTGTAACAATAAGAATAGCGAATGCTATTCATTGTTCTAAGCGCTTTAATTCAGTAACCTATTTAATTTTCACAGCAAACTATGAGTTTGGTTCTTTTCCCAATTTTACAGATGAGGCAATTAAGGTCTGGAGAGGTTAAGCAGCCCATCAAGGCTATACAATATAAAGCGGTACTGCCGGGCCACAAACCCAGGCAGGGTGAATTCTTTGGTCTCAGCAGCCCTGAGATGCAAGGCTCATTTGCTTTGTCAGCACACAATTGGAAAACAGAAGATTAGAGGACCATGGGTTCCAGTCCTGATAGGCAGTTACTTTTGAGTCTTTACAACAGTGGAAAAGTTTTTTCTTTTAAATCCTAAGCTTCTCAGAGCCATTCCTTTTTGCCACTAAATAAGAGAGACAATTTTGTCCTGTGTTTCTGGTAAAGACTACAATGCCTTTTTCAAATATTTCTTGTAGTGGAGTTGGAATCAAATGACTAAAGAACATTAATCGTGACTCAATTTTTTACATATTGAAAGAATGGAAGGCAGATGTGATCAAGATTATGGTATACTGTGTGCACAGAGAAAAATTAAACCCTGGGAAGATTGTTTTAAGTATCTCTGGCAAGGCTCCACCCCAGATCGATTAAAACAAAATCTCTGGGGATGAGGCTCAGACAATCACATTTTTTTTTTTTTTGCGGTACACGGACCTCTCACTGTTGTGGCCTCTCCCGTTGCGGAGCACAGGCTCCGGACGCGCAGGCTCAGCGGCCATGGCTCACGGGCCCAGCCGCTCCGCGGCATGTGGGGTCTTCCTAGACCAGGGCACGAACCCATGTCCCCTGCATCGGCAGGCGGACTCTCAACCACTGCGCCACCAGGGAAGCCCAACAATCACATTTTTAAACTCCAGGAACTTCTAATACGCAGCCAGGTTTGAGACTCTCTAAATTATATTAGGCTCTTTCTAAATGTTATTGATAGTTATATCAATAGGAAGGTGCAGAGGCTGAGATATAGGTTAAATATTTATTTTAATGTGGTAAATATCTTCAAATAAACCCAATAATTCAGTTCTGGGTTTAGTCAAAACTGAACTTTCTGGATTTAGCCACAAGAGTTTAAGGTACAAGGCATTACTCCTGAATAGCAAGAATTACCCATTTATTTTTGTTGAATCTAAAATGCTGTTATTATTGTTATACTATGTTATACTATGTTACAATGAGCATCTCATTGTGGGGAAAGGTTATGGAATAAGAAAATAAAAAGCAAGGAGAGTGACAGTGAGACAAAGATCAATTGTTCCTGAACCCTCTGAGCACCTGATCAGACCTGATTAATGACGTCTTTGGGGCCACAGGGCATTCTGAGTACTGGTGACCCTCCACTCCAATTGAAGGAAAGTCACATTAAGAAGCAGGCAAAGAAGGGAATTCCCTGGCGGTCCAGTGGTTAGGACTCTGCGCTCTCACTGCCAAGGGTGTGGGTTCAGTCCCTGGTCGGGGAACTAAGGTCCTGCAAGCCACGCAGCGCGGCCAAATTAAAAAAAAAAAGGAAAGAAAAAGAAACAGGCAAAGAAAACTAGAGGAGGAATTCTGCTTTCTCAGCTAAAGGAAAATAGAGATGAGTAGAAGCAAGGCCACATGTGGGTGGTAGAAACTCCAATGCTAGTTCTGGTTCTGCCAACAGCCTTGTTGGAACAGTTGTCTACGGGTCAATTTCCTTACCTAGGAATCATGGTAATTGTCGTACCTAATTTACAGGGTTGCTGGCAGGATATAGATGTCAAAACATTTGGAAAAGAGCAATCTACAAACATAAAATGTTATTATGAGTCTCCTCATTAGGTGATACTGCAGACAGCTGTGTGGCCACCAAAAGATGCACCATTCTGTTTATTTTTATTCCCCAAAGGGTCACCTGTTCCAAAGTCTTCTAAATTTAGCATGAGGTACTAAATTCTTTGGGTGCTCCATATGGTGGATAAGGCCTCTGTCAGTTGGCTTGAACACCTAACTTCCCTACACAGAGATTATTTCATCTTTTCATTTTTGCATGACTAATGCTACTAAGCTCAGTGCTGCCAGTTTGTTCAGAGTATGCATTTGTTTCTCAAGTCCTAACGGCCTTAGACCCCTCTGTGCCCTTGTCCATGGTGAAAGCCTCAGAATATTCCCACGAGCTTCTTCCTACAAGCCAGAGGACGGAGGCAAGATCTGAGGCCCCCTGACCACACAGTTCCTTTCCCTGTTAATCTGCTCCATGTCTAAGAGAGATGGTCCCAGTTTGGGGGTTTCTGTGTTTACACAGATGTTGGTCTGGGAGGAATGGAAAATTAGGTGGATCTGGAACTTCTTAAAGCCAGTTAATTTGACCACCAATGTGGTCAAATGATAGGCTTCTTGTTTGCTTCCAAGTGGGATTGGGTCGACTCACCAAGGAAAAAGGCTAAACCAAATCTCCCTCTCCTTCTAGAGAAAATAGACAAATTTCCCTTCTCTATGACCTCATCTTTACCCGCACCGAGATTCGAGGAGGACAGGGATTATCATGTATTGCATTCATCCTGCATCTCCCATTCTTACCTTCACTGAGTTCTAAAGTGCTCCGTAAAGTGGGTGAAGGTTAAGAATTACTGTCTCCGACACTATACTTGCTTGCTTCATGCTAGATGCGGGCCCTGACACCCGTACACTATTTGGGATTGCCTTCTTATATCAGCACTGGGCCAGTAGACATCCAATAAATTAAAATGTTCAAATATGCATGTAGATAAAGAAAATGGGATAACAAATTCCTAAAAACCCATCACTGAGTAGAATGATTGTCAAGAATTTTCCACACTTGCTTCATCCATCCCTTTTGTTATTGTTGTTATTAAAGCATCTTAAAGTAAATCTAGACCGTATGTCATTTCACTCCTACAAGCTTCCATGGGCATCTCAAAAGTGTGGACATTTTCCTGCATGATCCTAATTCCATTTTGCACCTAACAAAATGAGCGATATTTCCTTAGTATCGTCTAATACCTAATCCATATTAAAATGTCCCAAGTGTCTCAAAAATGACTTTTTTCGGGCTTCCCTGGTGGCGCAGTGGTTGAGAGTCTGCCTGCCGATGCAGGGGACACGGGTTCGTGCCCCTGTCCAGGAAGAGCCCTCATGCCGTGGAGCGGCTGGGCCCGTGAGCCATGGCCGCTGAGCCTGCGCGTCCGGAGCCTGTGCTTCGCAACGGGAGAGGCCACAGCAGTGAGAGGCCGCGTACCACAAAAAAAAAAAAAAAAAAGACTTTTTTCATTAGGTTTGTCATCATGATTAAAACAGGGTCCACACATTGCATCAAGATGGTATGTCTTTTGAGTCTCTTGTCCTTTTTCCTCCCTTTTTTCCCATGAATAAATGATTTGATGAGTAGGGAGTCTGAAGCCCTGAGAAGATCTGTCCAGAGAAAGCCTGTTACCTGCTTTATTTCTCCTAGGCTGACCAAAGAATCACTCGCTCTCACTCTACTTTTTATAACTTCGCCCAGGCTGACCAGATGGTTGGGGTGGTGGAGACAGTGGCTAAGGACGCAAGAAAATGGATAAAAACCACTTTCTCACTAGTGAACCAGAGACAAAATTTAAAACACAGAGCCAAAAGAAAGCCAAGCATTTCAGAGTGAGATTTGAGTCCCAGAAGATAGAAAGTATCCCTTCAAACAATTCTACTGTGACCCAGAGGATGGAGTGAATTCACAGGGAATGGCCTAGAACACGGTTGAAACTGGTGAGAGTCAGGTGATGGAGTGGTGTGGTAGGGGAGACAGGTTGTCTTGGGAAAAGTCTTCCAACCCCTCTTTTTCCTGCTCTATAAAAATGGATCTGACTCCCCTCTAGGTAGATTGGCTAAGGGCATGAATGGGCAAAGAGTCACAGACAGCTAAGAGCAGAAGTTAATTTGCTAGCTGAGTGGGAGCTTGGTGCGATTTTAGGAGTTATGTGGGCATCTGAGAGGGGAAGCATCCTGACAGTGCCTTTGGGCTCAGAATCCAAGTAATATGGCATTTCACATGTGTACAAATAAGCCCGTAATGTATTCTTTTGTCTTTGCTGTTGGGAATTTGCCATATGTTGATGGGTCCAGTGTGGGATCCATAAACATTTGTTCTTTCTTTGCACTAAATTGTACTTTAAGCTAAGGCTTAAATGGACTTTTTGCTTCATTCCTGTTTCTACAGCTTCAAATCCTCTGGACAGAGCAAGGGATAGTGAGAAATTATTTTATACCCTTGGTGTACCATAAAAAGGAACATAATTCTGCTTTGTTGATAATCTAGGTATTTGCACATCGCTATACCTAACTGCTTTGCATTCTGGTTATAAATTATTTGATTTTGGCAAACAAAAATAACTCAGCAGATGTTGTTAATATGACCACCTTCTTGGTATGCAGCAGCAAGGACCAGTAATGAAACCACTATCCCTATTATAGCAGTTTAATTTGCTAAAATTACCATTCAGAGAACACGTGTACAGGCCCCTGGGAAACCACTCAGCTTTGAAACTGCTGGCATGTGATGGCACATTCATACACAGCCTTATTCTATTCGAACCACAGAGTAACTTTCTGACACTGAGTTTTTCTGAAATGTTATCGTTTGCATCCTCCTGTTTTTTATCACCTCTACTTTGTTTGGTAATAATTCACGTGACTTCAGACAGAACGCCACAGGTCTAAGGAGACCAAGGTAAAATTATCAGAGAAATTTACTTTAAGGCAGAGAGAATTAACAAGACAGATAAATGTCCCCCTATTAGTACATAGTGATTGGAAAGTGCCAGCATTCAACTAGCTCATTTCCTTAATAAAAACATTCTTTTATTTGTATGTTGCTTAAAAAACAACAACAGAAAATTAGTGCTCACTTCGGCAACACATATACTAAAATTGGAACAAGACTGAGAAGATTAGCGCGGCCCCTGTGCAAGGATCACATGCAAATTCGTGAAGCGTTCTGTATTTTTCTATTATACATAACGTAGATAAGCAATAAAGATTTACTGTATAACACAGGGAACTATATTCAATATCTTGTAATAACATAAAGGAAAATAATCTGAAAAAATATATGTATAATTGAATCACGTTGCTGTACACCTGAAACTAACACAAGATTTTAATAAATCAACTATACTTCAATTGAAAAACTTAGAACATAAGATTTAACAAACATTTTTGTGCTTTTATCAGACTGTGGTGCAAACACAACAGGTCATTGCTTCATGTAGTAGATTCACTCTAATACCACTATCCCTTTATCGATTTTTTAAAATTAATTTTTATTGGAGGATGGTTACAATGTTGTGTTAGCCTCCACTGCACAACAAAATGAATCAGCCATACACATACAGATATCCCCTCCCTTTTGGACTTCCCTCCCATTTAGGTTGCCACAGTGCATTAGGTAGAGCTCCCTGTGCTATACAGTGTGTTCCCATCAGTTGTCTATTTTATACATAGTATCAATAATGTATATGTGTCAATCCCAGTCTCCCAATATCGATTATTAATTTTCATAATAAGTCTGCGTTGTGAGAAGTCTTTCTATAAAGTTACAGTTACATAAGTGAATCATTCCAATAGCTAACAATAAGCACCCGAAGTTGATCAGCACACGCCATCATTTACAGACTTCTAAAAACTGCATGACGCAGGCTGTAATCAAGAGAATCAGAACAGAGACTGTGAATAATAATGCATATCTTCCCACATAAATTCTTGCATCTTCCCTCCTCCGGATGAGCCCTCACTTCTTTTCTTTTTTTTTTTTAGTAGAAAAAGCCAAGTTAAGGAGCTCCAGGGGCCAAAGCTGAGAAGGCATCCAGGTGTTCTAACCCTGCGTCCCTTGGCCCCTTTAAAACCCCTACGAGCTGCACTTTGTGCCCTCATATATTCAAGTCTATAATAAGATGCCTGAATGCTAAGCGTCTGAAGTGCTGCTTTTAAAAGTGTTGTCATAACAACAGGAATAAAATGACAAGTGTAACTTGACTTTGAAAAGACTGCCTTAGTTTTAAGTCCATTGCTTTACCTAAGCAAGGGCTTAACTGTAACCTCCTAGTGAAAACAAAGGCTGTGATCAAATGACATTACCATAATTGAGTCTGTATCTTTAGCTATATTTGCCATCACATGAAATTGTCAGTCCTCCATCAATTCAATTTAATTGCTCGGATGGCCAGAAATAAATTAATTGACCATAAGAAGAATCTATTTGTTCGATTATGTAGGCCATATCTGAAAAGCTTTAAGATGATTTCTTCTCCTTTCTCTGAGATGAACTGTACCATGTAGCTTAATTATAAGGTTCAATTCCATTTTCTACCTGACTCTCATGCCCGCAAATGAATACCAGTGTTGGTCACCCATGCTGGGCAAGGTACATGGTGCATGATTATGCTGGGTACATTCTTCCAGGACCTAAGGATTTTTTTTCTCTTTAAGAAGTCCAAAGATGTAGCTCCATTCTAGTGAAAATGATTAAAACTATGAGCTTATAAAAATGGTAATTTCAGTAAAGTCAAATAACAATAGAAGATGTCAGTGTCATTTTGATGCTGTTTTGAAGTAAAGAAGCGACAATCACCATTAGCTAGAAATGAGTTGCCAAGCTCTAGGGGTAAACAGGCTACATGCAAGAAAAGCCTGAAGGAGTTGATAACACCAGGCATGGGACCATTTTCTTCTATGTTGGAGTGTTGTTTTTGAATCTGATGATCAAATAATGAGGATTTGTGGTGGGTGTATGTTTTTCTCAGCAGGACCAGACAAGCTGTCTATGAGGACCATGTTTCCAAGAAATTTTCCCTTTTGATGTACATGGTTTTGAATAGGTTTAAAAAAAAATTAGGTAATAAGTGCAAAATGCTTTTTCCTTCAAACCAGGAAACAGTTGGTCCTGTTTTGATGTCTAGTTTGCACCAAATGAGGGTCTCCGAGTGTGCTAGACTTTGCATTTTAAAATGAGTTATAACATTAGTCAAAATCCATTTAACCCCTCTTGACATTTAAGCGAGTTTTATGTCCTGAGTCATTTCTCTTCTAATTATCGTGAGGCCAGCTGCTTCCCCCTGCATTTATTTGATCCACCAGAATGGAAGAAGAAATAGAGTTTTCATTTTCCTCAGGCTGAAATGGTGTCAATTGTCGAGAAGTTCCTACAACTGACTGTCCCAGTGAGTAGATGTGCAATTAACGTTTCTTCTTTACTCTTCAAATGGTTCAGCCAGACCCTTAAAATAGCTTCACAGTTCTCTGCTGTCATTGCTTAGAGGGGGAATAAAAGAGGAAGAAAGAGGAGAGCAGTAATGTCAAATTACTTTATTTCTGTATATCTCTTCACCTGTAAAGTATGTATGGTTTTATAATTAGTGCATTCTATTTGATGGATAAAAGCCAGATATATCTTCAAAGGGCGCATTCTAGTTAGTAGAAAAGACCATTACTCCACACTAAGATTTTTACATATGCTTTCTCATTTTCTCCTTGCAATAACATTGGTGACTTAGGTCTTATTATACTCACTTTATTGACAAGAAAAATTGGAGCTCAGAGAGAACTTGGGTGAACCCTGGAGTTAGCCTGGCTCCAGAGACAATGCTTTTCTATTCTACCCTGTTTTGAGCATGAAAGAAGTTGGTACAGACAGGTGGTACCTACACTCAAGAAGTTTGTAGCTTATTAAAGAGACGAAACATTCAGGGAGATAATTATAATACACTGAGCCCCTGAGTATGTTAATTCCCATTAATAATTGGAAGTTTTGTCAGAAATAGAGTCACAGATGTAGAAAACAAACTTATAGTTACCAAGAGGGAAAGGGGGGAGGGATGAATTGGGAGATTGGGATTGACATATAAACACTACTATATATAAAATAGATAACTAATAAGAACCTACTGTATAGCGCAGGGAACTCTATTCAATACTCTGTAGTGACCTATATGGGAAAAGAATCTAAAAAAGAGTGGATACATGTATATGTATAACTGATTCACTTTGTTGTATAGCAGAAACTAACACAGCATTGTAAATCAACTATACTCCAATAGAAATTTATTTTAAAAAATCAAAAAATAAAATAAAACCCAAGCTTTGAAAACAAAAAATAAATAAATAAAATAGAAGTGCAACAACAAAAAATAGTTGGAAGTTTTGTGGTTCACAAGGCAAGATCCCTCTGGTTGAGCTGGTTGATCTGCTCAGAAAATGCTTCAAGAAACAGTTGGCTTTTGCATCAAATGATAGTCATGGATCAAACCCATTGAATAAAATAAGGATCCATGAATCCATGATGACAGTCCTGAAAATAAATAAAAACAAATAAATAAAAGGATTCAAGAAAGCTCTTACAGTAGAAAACAATGATTGAGTTCAAAGAGTACCATTTTGCCACCATCATAATAATAATTGATTTGGGCAAAAATTATCCATGGATGCTAAAACTTCTGGGTTAAAGAAACAAGATATTTGCATAGCCCCAAAGTACCTCCTTACTAACCACTTACCAGTTGCAAAGGCAAAAATAGAAACTTTCCAGGAGAGAGACTGTCCAACAACACCTGAACCAAGTAATCAAAGTTAACATCACTAGTAATAGGACCAAGTGATTCCTTGTGCCTTCGAATGCAGTACCTTCAGAAGGACAGCAATATCACTTATGTGATGTCACTCCCCAAAATGCATAGCCTAAGCCTAATTATGAGACAACATCAGACAGACCCAAACTACGGAACGCTCTATAGAACACCTGGTCTGTACTCTGTGAAAATGTCCAAGTCACAAAAGACAAAGAAAGGACAAGGAACCATCCCAGATTAAAGGAGACTAAAGGCACATTTCGAGAGAGGCAGTGCATGATCCTGGATTGGCTCCTAGCATGGGGGTGGGGGTGGAGGGACAGTATACCAGACATTATTGGGACCATTTGTAAAATTTGAATAACGTCTGTACATTAGATAATAGTATCGTATTGATGTTAAATTTCCTGATGTTGATAATTGTACTGCAATTATGTAAGTGATCACCACGTCTTTAGGATATACACATGGACGCATCATATCTGCAGATTGCTCAACGGGGAGGAGCAAATATATATATAAATATGTATATGCAAGTTGCTCTCAAATGATTCAGGAAGTAGTAATGGGTATGTGTGTATGGGGGGAGATGACAGAGTAAAACGTGACAGATTTCAGCAAATGGTGAATCTGGATGAAAGATGTATGAGAGCTTTTTGTTCTTTTCTTGTAACTTTTCTGTAAGCTTCCAATTATTTCAAAAAAACAAAAACAAAACCGTAATTGGTTTTTGAACTGGGCTTCCAAAGTACCCATGGTTTTAGTTTTTATCAGTCAGCATTTAAAGTAGTTCTGCTTTTTAATTATCTAAACATTGCTATGTTCACAAAGATGCTAGTTTCCGGCTTCCCTTGATTTCACCTGTTCAGATCACATCCATTCTTCCGGATGTAGCCAGCGTTTTATCTTCTCTATGAAACTTCCTGGCTGTACCTGTCTCATTTATCTCCCTCTGCATTGAGAGAACTCTATTATTTTAAATTTTATTAAGCACTTACCACACACCAGCTATTGAGTATACTAACCCATCTGCACCTCAAAAATCCTCTGAAGTGTTAGTCCTTTTATACAAATGAGGAAACTGGGATTCAGAGAGGTTAAGTAACCTGCAGAAGTTCAAACAGCTGTAAACTGTAGCCCCCAAATGGAGCCCAGATTTGTCTGACTTGGGAGTCCACATTCTAATCATCTCAGCTCTACTGCTTTCCTTGGAGCACTGAGAAATAGACATCACTTAAAATTTCACTGTGTGTTATTTCCTACATATTTCTTACATCAGACATGATCTCCCAACTTCTTTATGTACAGTCATATTTTCTTCTCCCATTAAATTATTAAAACTGTTTATAGCAGAGATCAGTCTTTGGTTCTTTTTAGATCTTGGG